AGGCGAGGCTCACCACCCATTTATCCCTCCGCCTTTCAATTAGCCCCACATGTGATTATCGGCCAGGTTGGCACAATTAACTAACTCACCCCCCCTCCCCCATCATACCCCCAGGAATCCTTCTCCTTTTTTTTTTTCTATAATAGTTTCTTTTTTGCTATGTCTAATACAGTCCAACACATACACTTCTGTTGCTCGATCCCATTGAGTGGGGTTATACAGTTATCAATGCTATCTGCTCCCTGTTCCCCACCCTCTCTCTTCCTGTACCCGCAAGGGAGCCATTACTCCTGTTACTGTTTCTGAAGGTTTATCTATCTTGACTTTCTCACTGTGTTGTTCTTCTGTACCAAAGGATCTTAAATATACAAATGAACATACACAAATCTCGCATGATTAATGAGGTAAAACAAATAAAAACCATGATAGTAAGGGGAGGAAATATTAAAGAACTAGAGCAGTGGTTCTCAACCTTCCTAATGCCATGAGACTGTAAAACAGTTCCTCCTGTGGTGGTGAACCCCAGCCATAACATTATTTTCATTGCTACGTCATCACTGTCATTTTGCTACTGGGATGACTTGGGCGACCCCTGTGAAAGGGTCTTCTCATTGGCTCATGTGCATGTGAGAGTTGGGTGCATGTGAATGATGGTGCTTTTTAGGGACAAGATTTTTTTTTTTTCTCTTTTTTTTTATTTTTGAGAATGAGTGAGAGAGTAAGCGAGAGAGTGAATGAGAGAGTGAGTGAGTGAGAGAGTGAGTGAGTGAATGAGAGTGAGTGAATTAGAGTGAGAGAGTGAGTGAGTCAGTGAATGAGAGTGAGTGAGTGAGTGAGACAGTGAGTGAGTGAATGACAGTGAGTGAATTAGAGAGTGAGTGAGTGAGTGAGTGAGTGAGTGAATGAGTGAGTGAGTAAGAAAGAGAGTGAGTGAGTGAGTGAGAAAGTGAGAGAGTGACTGAGTGGGTGAATGAGAGTGAGTGAGTGAGTGAGAGTGAGTGAGTGCGAGAGTGAGAGTGAGTGAGTGAGTGAGAGTGAGTGAGTGAGTGGGGACAAGATTTTTACAGTGCGTTTTAGAAATAAGATTTATGGCAAGATGTCATCTCACCGACTTTGGGCGTATTTCCAGGAGCATGGCTTCATGTTTGGTAAAGTGAGGCGCAGTGAACGAGAGGCAGGCCCTCGAGGAGCTGGATGGACACAATGGCTGCAACAATGGCTCAGGCACAAGAACAATCATGGGGGTGGTGCAGACCCGCGATGTGTCGCTCTCTTGTGCATGGGTCACCGGGCATCAGAACCGGCTCAAAGGCACTTAACAGCACCCACACAGTGCTGTCGTGGTCAAGCATTGGGCTGCTTGCCGAAGGGTGGGCAGTTGGAAGCCACCAGCTGTGCCTCGGGAGAAAGGAGGCTGTCTACTCCCCTCAAGAGTTACGGTCTCGGAAACCCAGAGGGGCAGTTCCACCCCAGCCTACAGGCTCGCTGCTGGGAGTCAGAAATTGACCTGCTGGCCATCAGGTTTCCATTGTTTTATTTTTCATTTTTATGTGGGCGTGACTGTGCGTTAGAATCAACTTGATGGCAATGGGTTTGCCGTTTTTAATGTTTTTGGCTGGGAACATGCTGATCAACGCATAAGAATTTGAGTGGGGTATAGCTTGGATGAACCACATAACAAGCCTTTAGTTCAGAGGTTCTCAACCTGTGGGTCGTGACCCCTTAGGGGGTCGCGCGACCCTTTCACAGGGGTCGCACCTTAGTCCTCAGAGTAACGTTCTTGCTCTTCAATACTATTGAGTGGTTGTGCGCAGCAGATTTACCCAGCGCAGCTCGTCTTTGGATCTCTTGACTGCTGCTTCCATGAGCATCTCGAGTGTGGATCCGAGCAAGACAAATCCTTGACAACTTCCACTCTGTCTTTGTTGATCTCCATGGTACCCTTTGGTCTAGGTCTGGGGACGGCAGTCTTCTTTACATTGCATTGTACTCCCGCCCACAATCCTTGGTCTTCATTCAACCCCGGCACCTACTCTCCATTCAGGACACACGCCCAGACTAGTCCCTTAGGCTAAGGCTTGGGCCACCCCTCCCTGGACTGGCTAGGCCATTGCCACTGCCCTAAAATGATCAGGAAGAATTCTGTGAAGGAGGGTGGAGGAAAGAGGGTGAGGTGGGGTGAGCTGATCCCAAGGGCTCCAGTAGAAAGAAAATGTTTTGAAAAGGATGATGGCAACAAATGTACAAATGTACTTGACACAATGGATGGATGGATGGATTGTAATAAAAGAAAAGAAATATAAAAGAGTTCAGTGAAGGCCGAATTCATGTGGAGACTCATAAATGGACTTAGGGCTTCCGTTGTCAACGGGGGTACTTCCACAAAGGAGTGCTTAGCAATGTCAGGTCTAGGACATGCACCCAGGAGGCTCATCTTTCAGCACTACACCTTTCTGTTGGGAGCCATTGACTGCCAAGGGTAGGAGCCACGGTGGCATAGTGGATGCAATCGGGAAGGCCAGCCGTTTGACAAGACACATGGAACTAAGGTAGAGCCCTGGAGCTGGAGGAATCACATGGAGACCCACGCCAACGCTGAGATATTGCTTCCACTGCCACTGGATGCACAAGACTTTCCACCCACTGGCCTATGATCTTCCTGCATTCGGCATCATTGCATGTGTTGTGTGAGTCTGAAGAGGAATTTACAGACTGGTTTTGGACATATGAGCTAATATCGGACTTATGGACTGGGCTGGGAAGGGAGTCTTTCTGTGTCCCACCTCCAGTGAGCTATTTATCTCCATAGCACCTCCAAATGAGGTCATCAAGCTGCGACCTGATTGACAGGCTAGACTCCACCCCTTTGCCCTTCATAGCCTCAAATTGACTTCAGATGATGTAACGGCCGCACGTGAGTGCATTTATGGGAGGTTTAACGGGATACTATCTCTGATTGGAGTCATGAGCTGGGCTGAGCAACACCGTCTCGGTTTTTCTTTAAACACTAAAATAAACAAATAACAAGTTAAAATTGAAAAAAGAAAAAAAGGAAAGGAATGACAGCTCACAGCCTTGAAAACCCCCCAGGTTTCTTATCCCTGGGATCTAAACAGGAGTCTGAGCAACTGACAAAGGAGGGATAGCGAATCCGAAGTGCACTTCTTGGCTTCTCTCGGGACATGGGAGTCCATCTCTAACATAGGAAAGAAAGAAAGAAGGCGATGTGGGGGTCAGACATCTGTGGGTGTCAGTGGCCCTCACGCAGGGATGCTCAGCCTCAGCACAGCCCACATTCTGGGGGACTCTGCTGTGGTGGGCAGGCGGTTTTGTGGCCTTGGTTTAGGATGCCAGGATGCATTTCTGATCTCGACCCACTAGAGGGCAGTGGCTTCTCCCGGTTGGGATCAAGAAAAACCACCTAGCCAGAACTTTGTACTCCTGTGGAGGGCAACTCAAGGTAGAGAAGACTCCAGTCCTCACAACTGGACCGATAGGTAACATCGTGATAAAAGGAGAAGAGCTTGAAGTCGGCGAGGATTTTGTCTTGCTTGGATCCAGACTGGATGCTCATGGAAGCATCAGTCAAGAGAGTCAATGGTTGATACAATCGATGAATGGATTGTAAGAGCTGTAAGAGACCCCCAATAAAATGATCTTTTAATTAAAAATAATACTAATAAAAAATAAAGAGATCCAAAGAATACATTGGGTAAATTTGCTGCACAAGACCTCTTTAGAGTATTGAAAAGCAAGGTTGTTACTTTGAGGACTAAGGTGTGCCTGACCCAAGCCGGGGTATTCTCCATTGCCCCATATGCACGTGAAAGTTGGACATTGAATCAGGAAGACCGACAGACAACCGAAAAGTGGTGAAGGAGACGTAGGACAGGGCAAGATATGACAAAATACCCATTTATAAACTATCAAGGGATCATGAGGGAGGGGGGAACGGGGAGGGAGGAGAAAAATGAGGAGCTAATGTCGGGGCTTTAAGTGGAGAGAAAATGTTTTGAGAATGATGTACAAATGCGCTTTACACAATTGATGTGTGTATGGATGGCGATAACAGTTGTATGAGCCCCTAATAAAATGTCACAAAAAAAAAAAGAAAGAACCAGGAAGACCAAGACCATAGAAGAGTCGATGCATTGAATAGTTGGTACAGGAGAAGAATACTGAGTGTACCATGGACTGCCAGAAGGACAAACAAATCTGTCTTTGAAGAAGTATGGCTGAGTTAATCAGATAGATAGATAGATGGATAAACAGATAGATGATAGATAATAAAAGAAAGAAGTACGACTA